CCTGAAGCTGTATCATAGCAGGCATAGGAAGACACATAACTCTTTCCTCAATTGACTATTAAGTTGCCTCTTCAGGGTGGACTCAGATTTTGAATGCAGACTTCAGAATTGGTAGGTTTAAACTTCTCTATATTGACACTTTGATTAAAAAATATTTTATAGGGTATACAAGAACGAGACAGTCATATTAAGATGCTCACTGAGCAAGTAGAACAATATACAAAGGAAATGGAAAAAAATACGTTTATTATTGAAGATTTGAAAAATGAGCTCCAAAGAAACAAAGGTAATTTAATATTTTATAAGTATATCATTATTTTATATACCATCACATTTAAAAATATTTTTAAAAAATAAAATCATGTCATGTCAATAGATATATTATTGCTTTTTCTCTATATGAATTTTATTATATTTTCAAAAAATTGTATGGGATATTATTAAGTACTTTACATATCCTCCTAGTGTTTAAATTCGTAAATCATGCAGATGTTTTCTATAATTTTTCTCTAATGAAAATCACATTAACCTTTATTACTAGGTTGGCTGAATGAAAGAAATGAAAATGGTGATATAATTGATTTTATTTTATTTAAACCCCTTTTAATAATTAATATAAAATGGAAGACAATAAAGTTTTGATCAATGTAGCAGCATTGCACCTAGTTTTCAGGGTAATTTGACTTGTCAACATTTGAATTAATCTTACCCAACTTAATGTCTTATCATATTCTGCCTATCCTGGGTCATACTACCTTGTTTAACACATTAAGTCCTCTGAACATAAGCCTGTAAAACATCAGTGGTCTACTTCCACAGTACTGCATACCATAGATATATCAGAGCACAGTAATGCAAACTATTCACAGTAAGTTTATGATATATTTATTATAATCCTGAAGTTAAAAGAAATAGGCACAAAGGAGAGCTAATGGGTGAGCCTATGTGTGTGTATGTAACTGTCAGTGATAGAATGGTGATTGTGGTTGGTGGTGTGGTTGGTGTGATATCTGAACAAAAACTTAAAGGGAGTGAGGAAGTGAGCTATGTAAATGTCCCCTAAGTAGTGGATATAAGTGCAAAGGCGCTGAAGCAGGAGTGTACCGGGTATGTCTGAGGAACAACAAGCTTTTGTGACTGGAGCAGAGTTCCAGGTGGGCAGTAGTTGGTGAAGAGATCAGAAATGTAGCCAGGAGTCATATCATATGGAGCCTTAAAGTTCATTGTAAAGACTTTGGCTTTTTTTTAAGTGAGAAGGGACACTGAAGAAAGTTTCTGAAGACAGAAGTGATATAATTTGACTTAGGCTGTGTCTGCCATAGAGTATAGGAGGGGTAAGGACAGAATCAGGGAGACCTATTATAAAACTATTGCAATAATCCTATATAATAAAAGGCTAATATGCAAATTGTCCCCTCGTCTGGGAGTTCCACCAGGTGGTGGGGCCGGCCAGCCTACTGCCCTGCCTGTGGCCCCTCCCCCTGGCCTGCCCCATCCCTGATTGGCTTTGATGGTGATGAAAAGGATCAACTAGCTTAAGACAAGAAGGGGGGCAGGGTCCAAGAAGGATGGAGGCATTTCTGGCCTGAACAACTAAAACAGCCATAAGTTAGATCTAAAACAGCCCTGACCTAAGGGGTAATAAAACATCTCTGGCTAGGAAGCCATAGGGTGGTCTAAAATAACTCCAACCTGAACAAATAAAATAACCAAAAAAACAACAACATGAAAATGGGTATCGTGAAAACTTATTACAAGACTAAGGTCCCATGGTGGAAGAGACACAATAAGGAAAAGAATGGTCTTCAGAATACATAATAAATACCTCAGACAAAAAACTACAGTCTATAGGAACTCAGAGACAAAAAGACTCAACAAATTACAAATTACAGATTCAAATTTTGGATTTTTTCCCATGAAAGAGGAAGAAAGCAAGCCTTTCCCATTTGGAGTTTGTATCTGCTTCCAATAAACTTCTACGTTTTTTATTAAAGAAGCCTTTTCGTACACAAATTTATTCAAACTTTGTAGGGCAAAAACTGACAGAAGAAGTCTGCACCCCGAACCCCACGTTTCAGTGAGAACTGGCAGAATTTCTCTGATTGCTTCTGTTTTCTCAGTAAACAGGAAGCAAGGTTTTCAGCTGAAAGTGGGGATAGGGGAATATGTATTAGAAGTTTGAGGAGAGAATAGAAAAGAGGAAATATGAAATGGTCATGTGGAAGAATGAACAGACTAGGAAAATGTAGTGTGATTGTTGAGCAACATCAAAACCCACTTGATATACATATTTCTATATGTGTGTGTATTATGTATGTATTAGAATTATACTTTGACAGTAGTTTAAAGTGCTTTAAAAGGATGACTGATATTATGGGTGTTACATATTCCAGCCAACAGGAGAAAGTGGCAATTAATCTCTGCTGTTGGATAAGGAAGAGGTCTTATCTAATGACACCTCAGTCACAGCATTTGACCTCCAAAGCCTACAGATTGGAGTATACTCTATATCTTGATCAACTTGTAAATATGACAGACAGCTAATGGTCTTTCCCCTTTCATTGGTTAGGATTAGGTTTAGCTGTCAGAAACAGATCTGAAAAATAGTAGCAAAATCAAGATAGAAATGTATTCCTCACTTGTGCATTGGAATTAGGAAATGCCTAAATCTAGACCATTGCACAGGGGTGTTGCCCTCATCTGCCTTATTTGAAATGGAGCTTTAGTGTCACATCCACGTTTCAGACAGCAAGATGAAGGAAGAAGGGGAAAGAGGCAAAGAGCACATACTGAAGTATAGGCAGGTAAATGTTATGGAGGGCCATGTGGAAGAAAGGGAGAATGGATTTTGGGGACCACTCAGCCTCTGTCACATTCTCCATCTAAGGCTAGGCTGTTCACTCCAGAGAACAGGGCTCATTTCTTTCTTTCTTTTTAAAAAAAATATATTTTATTGATTTTTTACAGAGAGGAAGGGAGAGAGATAGTTAGAAACATCGATGAGAGAGAAACATCGATCAGCTGCCTCCTGCACACACACTACTGGGAATGTGCCCGCAACCAAGGTACATGCCCTTGACCGGAATCGAACCTGGGACCCTTCAGTCTGCAGGCGGACGCTCTATCCACTGAGCCAAACCGGTTAGGGCAGGGCTCATTTCTTATACAAAAGTGATCTCCCACACTAGTCCAATACCAATACGTAAGTATATACCCAATAAATCAGTAGATGTTTATTATGGATGAATATAAGAATTATTTGTGTCAATACATTTTACAATGATAGGAATACTATATTTTGGTCTAGTTTGTTAAGATAATAGTGATTTTTTTTTAGCTATTAGTTAGGTTTAAGTTTAGCTGCAGGTGACAGAAAAATCAAATGTAACAATGGTTTAAGCAGGATAGAAATCTCTGTTTTCATGATATAAACAAAATTGAGGCAACTAGTTGAAGGTTAGTGTGATAACTGCACAAATCAGATATCAGATAATCTGTATACTCTGCCTATCTTGACATCTGGTTTCCATCTCCTGTCCTAAGAAGACCGTATGAGTTCCAGCCTCAATGCATATATTCCAGCTGCCAGGAGGGAGGAAAGAGAAAAGAAAGATTCACTTCTTTCCTTTAAAAGCATTTCTTGACCAGCATCCAGGAACAGAATGAATGGAGACCAGAAATTGGATGTTTATGACCCAAAAAAGCAGAATTTCATCCAGCACTTATCCCAGATTGTCAGGGTATTAACTGAGGGTGACATGGGGCACCCAGATACAAGAGATGCTATTGCCTGGCTCGAGGAGGTCCTGGAGTACAATGTTATTGAGGGTAAGTACCAGCAGGATGTGACGGTACTCATAACACTCCAGGACCTGATGGAACCCAGAAAGCAGGATGCTCATAGTCTCCAGTAGGCATAATTGTGGGCTGGTGTGTGGAACTGCTCCAGGCTTTCTTTCTGGTGTCAGACAACATTATGGATTCATCCCTCACCTGACAGGGGCTAGATCTGCTGGTATCAGAAGCCAGGCATAGGTTTGGATGTCAACCGTCATGCCATGCTTACGGAAGTATGTATCTACCAACTGCTGAAGTTCTGCTGGGAGCAGCCTATTACGCGAACCTAATCAAGCTCTTTCTGCAGAGTTCCTATCAGGCTGAGATTGGACAGAGCCTGGACTTCATCACAGCACTGCAGGGCAACATGGGTATTGGCATATTCACTGAAAAGAGGTACAAATCTGTTGTTAAGTATACGTTAGCTTTCTACTCTGCCTTCTTGTGGTGGCTGCCATGTATATGGTGGGCATTGAGAAGAGAAGGAACATGCCAATGCCAAGAAGTTCCTGCTGGAGATGGGAGAGCTCTTTCCCATTAAGGATGACTACCTTGACCTCTTTGGAGACTCTAGTGTGACAGACAAGATTGACATTGACATCCAGGACAACAAATGCAGCTGGCTGCGGTTCAGTGTCTGCGACGGGCCTCTTTGGAACAGCACTAGATCCTGCAGCCAAATTATGGGCAGAAAGAGGCTGAGAAGGTGGCCCAGATGAAGGCACTCTATGAGGAGCTGCAGTCTGCAGGCTCTGTTCATGCAGTTACAGCCACTTTGTGGGTCTCATCAAGCAGTGCTCTGCAACCCTGCCCCCAGCCATCCTCCTGAGGCTAACACACAAGATCTATAAGAGGAAAGAGTGATCTAGAGACTGCAAAGGCCGGAAGGGGATGCTCTCAATAAATGACAGTAAATCCTAAAAAAAACAACCCATTTCTTGAAATGTGCACATGGCTTTTCTATCTGTATCGCATTAGTCATGTGGTCATAGGTCCAGCTAAAATTCCATAGTTTATTACAGTGGACAAAAGAGAGGTTAAATATTAGAAAAATGTTAGCAGTCTTCGCATAGTGATCATTCTTTGTATAGCAGTGTTTTGCAATCTTTTACAATCCATAACCCTTCAGCTGAGATTTTATTGAACTTTATTTTTTTAGTTTGTTTTATTAATACAACCAAATTAGAGCTTTGTTTTATAAATAAGAAATTGTGATATTAAAAGGGCTTTTTTTTAGTGATGTATCACTTTTTCTGCACCCATATTGGAATCAGTGATTTAAAGGAATGAGTAATCAATTCAACTCATTTATGATTTTCACTTTTACCTTGTAGGTGCTTCAACACTTTCTCAACAGAATCATTATATGAAAATGCAATCTAAGGTTCAAATTTTAGAAGAGAAGACTAAAGAGGCTGAGAGAACAGCTGAACTGGCTGAGGCTGATGCTAAGGAAAAGGATAAAGAACTAGTTGAGACTCTGAAGCGATTAAAAGATTATGAATCTGTATGTATTCTTATCTTGTCAATCAAGTTTAGAATTTTTCTTGACACAGTTAGACTGTCCTTTGCCATTTACTGCATACGATCTAAAAGCATTCCAGAAATATAATAAAGATTATCCTGCCCTGACCCGTTTGGCTCAGTGGATAGAGCGTCGGCCTGCGGACTCAGGGGTCCCGGGTTCGATTCCGGTCAAGGGCATGTACCTTGGTTGCGGGCACATCCACAGTGGGGAGTGTGCAGGAGGCAGCTGATCGATGTTTCTCATCGATGTTTCTGGCTCTCTATCCTTCTCCCTTCCTCTCTGTAGAAAATCAATAAAATATATTTTTAAAAAAAGATTATCCTAATCAATTAATATTAAACTATTCAAACTTTTGAGTAGCATTTACTTTGTGGCAGGAGAATTATTTTCAAACTATTTGCCAGATAATCAGCTTTGGTGAGGCAGCAAGGTTAGGTTCTTTGTAATCTGTGTCAGTATGCCACCATGTAGATGTGACACCTGGTTAGTTTGATAAAAGTTATAACATGGACTGTTTTATTGCCTACCATGGCAACACAGCCTGACTTTGTACTTTTTTTTATATTTTAAAATCTGATTACCACTAAGTCAGGCAAGAAATGATTTACATATTGTAATGGTATTGCCCATTGACCCTTACTATTTATTTTCTATGTTTTGTGAATCCTTTTAATGTAATATTCTGAGTCACTTTGCCATTAGGGTGCTGTTTTGAGAAGTTTCAACTCTTCCATTTTCTGTCATCATTATTGGAATTTTTTTTAAAAAGCACAATAAAAAACACAGTTTAATGATGCAGACCTTAAGTATATGTGCACTTTCCCACAGACTTAATAAGAAAATAAATTCATGAGTTTAATAATTTATTCCGACTAAATCATGTTATATTTAAATTAGATGGGTATTTTTTAGGGAGTATATGGTTTAGAAGATGCTGTTATTGAAATAAAGAATTGTAAAAACCAAATTAAAATAAGAGATCGAGAGATTGAAGGATTGACAAAGGAAATCAATAAACTTGAGATGAAGATCAATGATTTCCTCGATGAAAATGAGGCACTTAGAGAGCGTGTGGGTGAGTCATCTTTTAAGATACGTATTTTGCTCAATCCTAATTGTCAAGTCATTTTCAGTTTTCCTTTTTGATTGTTTATTATTTTTAAATAGTTGTCTTTTTTTAAAAAAATACATTCTTTTATAAAAATGTTTAAAACAAATAAAAGTGGAGCTACTCTGATTGACGTGGGATTGGGGATTTAGTAGGGCTGGGATGGCGGGGGGCGGGCCTGGAGCACTGCTCTGTGCAGGCCAGGATCTCCTCAGTAGTAACTGCTGGTCTAAAAATGAAAGTCTGCTAAGTTAATACCACATATTAGAAGTGAACCCTTTAATTTTTTTCAATCAGAGTAATGTCTATGTGACCCATGTCAGTTTGTAAGATGCCTTTGTTTCATAAGAATTCTTGAGGACATTTAGAAATACTATATAAACCTTTTTAAGACTTTTAAGTACTTGACTTTTATAATTTAGACTGCTTAAGTTTTTCTTCGGTTGAGTATTTTAAGGTTACTATTGATTCTAAGAAGTAATATAGCTTGAGAAGTTATATATTGATTTCAATAAATACCTTATTAGTGAATATTACC